TTTGAGGGAGTCTGGTAGTGTGGCTTAATTTGATTTTGGGAGTGTTTGAACTGTCCACCCAAACATTTAGGGGATAAGTAGGACGTTCGGTTGGAGACGCTTTTATTTACTCTCACATTGTTGTTCAACAAGTTTCCTTAGCTGTTCCTATAGTATTTTCTCCCCTCCAACAACCCCAAGGAGGCACGATGGTCTTCCTAAACGATTACTATTGTCCCACATATGAGTTGAATATGAGGGGTGTCAGACAACCCGGGTGTCAGACAACCCAGGCGTCTAGGGCTGAGGGTTTGGCAACGTGTGAACTGTTCGCCTGGGTGTTTTGGGGAGAAGTAGGACGTTCGATGGAGATGCTTTCATTTCTCTCACATTGCCTTCCAACAATTTTGCTTTGCTTTTCATACGGTATTTTTTAAGTTCAACAACTCCAAGGAGGTACGATAGTTTTCGTAAAAGATTACTATTGATTACAGATCTTCTATGGTCAATCTTCCTCGAAAGAAATATTCAAGAACACATTAGGTGCTATGAGAAAAACAAAAGATCGCAATGACTAAATTCCCATAGAAGATGGATTCTCCATTCTTTTCTTTTCAACTACTCCCTCTGTAAAAAAATATATAAAAGCGTTTATATTGCTACTTTAACAATCTAACACTCTTATCAGTATTTATTATCGGAGGGGATATTTCGAAAGATACCTCCGTGGCTGGGCTGAAAGTCCAGACACGAGAGCTCGAGCAAACATGCCGCGGAATTTCGGGGTGAAGCACGGGGCGCGCTTTAGCGTTTTGGTACGGGGCCTTGTCCATTTTCGCCCGCACCACGTGCTCTTTCAGGAAGGGTCCAACTCCAAAGATGCTTTGGTGCCAGTCCAGACATTGACTTGGACAAGGCCCCTGTGACTTCGGGGCTGTTTGGTTCTAGGCCTAACATTGCCACACTTTGCCACATATTTTTGTCAAGCTTGCCTAAGGTTAGTTCATCAAAATGAAAGCCACAAGTTGGCAAGCCTAAAGAAATCTTGCCACATTTTTTGTGTGTATGCTATGTGAGGTTCAAGTGTGGCTTGCCTAAGGTGTGGCTTGAACCAAACACTCACCTAAGTTAGTCAAACTTGTCTAACTTTAGGTGTGGCAACATTTGACAAAGTTAGTCACAAACCAAACAGCCCCTTCATCGCCTGCGTTGCCGCCCTGCCTACAGGTGGGGCCAGCCCCTCTGACTCGTGCCGTGCCTATGGACGAGAATCGGAGTCGGTTCCGTTCAGGCACCTTTTTGGTTAGATAGATGGGTTCAGTTCGGTTCAGGCTTGGTATTTTGGTAAAGTAACAGACGTGCATCCGTTGGTTGTTACAGATGGCCGGGAGCATGAAGGGGGAAAATGAACAAATGGCCGTAATAAAAAGAGGTTGGTCGTAGCAGAGGTTTCCATTTCCATTTCGACCTTTTCAACGCGGATTCCAGGGGCGGGCGGGGAATCATATTCACCAGTTCATGCTCTGACCTAGTTCCACCGAGAAAAGGGAAAGGAAATGGAGCATCAAATTCGCGTTTCTCAACGGTCCGGGGAGAAGCTGTTGACTATTCTCGATCCCCCACCGGCGGGCTCGTTGAGTGGGCGCTCGATTCGGCCCTGTCGAGCGAGGCGCGCATGGGATGGACACGTGACGGTTGCACGCTATATGACGCTAGTTTAAATTATTATCTTTATAATATAAAATAATATAATAATAGTAGCATAAATGGCTTCATTTATTGGCTTGTAGACCCATTTTGTTTTATGAGACTCTATGTTGCAGTAATATATTATGTTATCACCTCTCATTAACTATTTACCACATAAATAAAATTCTTAAAGTGCCCTATGTTACTAATTAAGTTACTCCCACTATAACCCATGGGAATGCATGGTGTTGCTGGTGTTGCTCACGTTAGGCTAGGGGGGAGGATATCCGTTCGGCTCAGGTGTGTATACCAGTTGATTCACTTGGCTCGGCCAACTTGGCTGCTCTCTTCCGTCCTTAATCGCCTGATTTCCTATTAATGCGTATCCACGATCTTGTAGCACCGCAAGGTACAGCGCGCTCGGCAAAGTCGCGTGGAGATAGAGACTGCCGAAACAGGAGAGGAGGGGCGTCGCTGCGGGCGCAGGGGGCCGGCACCCGGCAGCGCGCGCGTAGCCACGAAAGGCTGTGGCGCTGCCGGCCCGATCGACCTGACCTGCCTGCTGCATCGGCATCAGCTGAGCCGAGGGCGAGGAGAAATGCCTCCTGGGAATGGGATCCCCGTGTCCCGCCGTTGCCTTTGCCGTTGCCGAGTCGGCACGGCGCGCGCGCTCGCTCGCCGCCAAAGGCCGTGGTAGCTCTCGCCGAGTTGATCATTGTCCCCCGCGCCAACGAAACCACGTCCGGCCGGCGGAAACACCGGTCAAACACTCCACCGCTCGCTCCGCCCTGCGTCGACTAGCAGCCCACTCGCTCTCACCCTTGATACATGTGGCCTACACTCGACCCATACGCCTGCGGCTCGGCCGCTACTCGTGTCGATCAGTTTCTAATTTGGGAATGCTGAGTGAAGGTGCAGATAACCTAGTACTCCGGCCGTCGTGTCAGTACACTATTTTGTACCAGCGGCTGCAGCCTGCCAGAAGATCCACGATCAAACCATGCATGGCGTGGGGACCTGGGGACGCAAGCTTGCCGAATTTATATGCATCCAAACAAGGATAGTAATATTTCTTTGCATCTCCAGTAGATTTTGCGCCTTTAAATCCAAATCTGCGTGTTGGAGTGTCTGTGTATCTTCAGCTAGATCCATGTGTAGCATCACGGTGGGATTGCATAGTTTCAGCAGATCTGCATTTCATCTCCGGCGAGTCCCTGTGTTAATTCCGAGTCAACTATCCTTACCTCCACAAGCTATAGTATTACTCCGCACAGATGGAGAATTAATCTGGTTCATGATGGTTCCGCTGCCATTTCTGCATCAGGCCTCATCAAACCTTTCTTTGATCGACAAATCAAGCGTGCTTAATTCCCGTCCAAGTCCGCATCTACCAGTATTGACCATGACACAACGCCAATCAAGCGCTCCGGATTCTCGACCACACTTGCTGACTCGCTGTCACTTTTAGCTCACCCTACTACACGCTTCCATTTCCCTCTCAAAAAATACTTTCGAGACAGAGAATTCCACCGAGTGCCATCACGACTGCGAACTCATTCCCTCACAACAGCCGCTAAATCTGCAGCGTACAGCCCGTCTCATTCTTGAAGACCAGTGTGCAGTAGACCAAAACGCGTAGGCCGCTGTTCCTTCACGACCCGGTGTCCCCAGGATGCAACCCACTGTTTGATGATCTATCTACTACTGTAACTCCCATGGTCCTTGGGCTCAATGAGACCATGATTCCACCGTCACGCGCACTAGTAATGCATCCACCGATTCTCCACGGACCACACAAGTGGATGACTCAAGATGCACATCCATGATCCATCAGCTGGCTGAGAGGTGCCTCCAAAATTCTCCTGTCTTCTAGCTATGCCCACTCCCTTTCACTCACTCCCCTCCACGCTTGGGTCTCAAGGACTTGCCATCATCTCACTGACCCCCGTTGAACGTGGAGGTCGAAGAATCTTATTTGAGATATGAACATGTAATAAAGCAAGATTTGAACATGAATATATCAAGATAGTTTAGACCTTTATACGAAGTATATATCTTTAAAAAGGTTGAAAAGGAGGAACCACAATTTTCTGTAGAACCACCAAGAGAAAAGCTGCTTGTTTTGACAGATCGATTTCGAACAAGACATTCCTCTAGAAAAAGTGCGTGAGGACTGTTGCCTCGTCAATTCGGCGTCTCAAATCACTGTAAATTGCTGAATGAATTTTTGTACAGAGTTCACTGGAAGAAGAAAAAGATTGACGCGAAAGAGAAATCAATCAACCATGAACAAACCAAGTCATTAATTGATAACAACTGAGCACTTGCGTGCTTGAGTTTGAACTAGAAAGCAATTTTAGCGAGCCAAGGAGGCATGTCATTGTTACCAAAGGGAACCAGAATATTTTTACATGTCTGTCCAAAATGAATTAGAAAGCGAAACCACCTATCGCCCAATTCCTCGACAGAATAATGGAACAACGGCAGAAAACATCGTCTCATCACTCTTTTGACCGGGCAGAAAACATGGCTTAGGAAATTCAGTTGCGAACAAAGGGAGAAAAGTGTGAGGCCTGTGAACGTTTCATCACTTTTTTGACACGGCAGAAAACATGGTAGAAGAAATCACCTCGATTCTCATGCAGGTGACAGGGTGATGGACAGTTGAAAATACAGCCAGAAAGATACAGAGAGTGAGTCATCAAACTCCAACCAACAACAGCCTACTATATTTATTAGGTGCACATCTAAGCACTTTTGTCTCGCGGCCAAATCTGTTGAATCGGTCCAGTGGTTCATTCATACTCAACTAATCTCATACTAAAACCAAAACGAGAAACAGACCAACCAGACCACATGCTGAGTATAAAATACAGATTTGGCCCTAACATACGAATTGTGCGGTATCTTGAAATAAAATGGATATATGCTGTACAGGAGTTGTGCACAACTGGTGAGATTCGAGATCATAAAATCTACTCCCTCTGTTCCAAAATAGATGACTCAACTTTATACTAACTTTAATACAAAGTTGGGTCATCTATTTTGGAACGGAGGGAGTAAGTTGCAACTTTATAATCAAGTTGTATATAGCCCCAATATCTGATAGGGATAAAACATACATGTTCAACAAATGCCAAGCAACACACAGCTAGTCAATAAGGAATTTGACATACAGAGAATACAAAAGGGCAGCCTGCCTTAAGGTACAGCCCTCAGAGGGATGTGCAACAACAATAAAACAACCACCAATAACTATGTCGTATATTGTAGGGAATACCCTGAAGCTCATGAAATACACGCCAGTGGAAGAAGTGCCAGAAAGATCTTCCTTACAGAGTCCGTGAGATGTTCTTGAACTCGCTTAAACAGGACAGCAGAATCTTTTGACGTTTCAGTAGAGACTGGCGCTCATTCTGGATACAATCAATCGCGCCGGGAGACACAAACATGTCCATGAACTTCTCGTCATTTACAGCAAACAGCTCGAATCCAAGTGCTAAAAACAACCTTTCGCGGCTGCATTGCATCAGTAGAGCAGAAGTATTAGAAAAGAATAACACTTCACATATGGTGGATACACCTATTCAACTAGCAATAGGAAACAAAGCACATTCAGTTCATATCTATCACTGGATTAATAGTGATTCAGATGGTTATTCTTGATACTGAACTTAGAATTTATGCCTAGTGGAAGTGTCTTCAACATATGTGCTAACTTAGATTGCTCGTTCAGTTTGTGCTCATCTAGTTACAAACATAAAAAGAACTGCCTATTTTTTTAGTCTGTCACTTCTAAGCAGATGAGCTAACTTAGGCATGAATTACAATTTAGATTCCACAGTTCACTTCCAGGCTAAACAAGCAGAAAGAGATATAGCTATAGCCCATAAGTTTGAACGTACCATGGTGTTAAGAATCCAGAGTTCAATGCAGAGGGAACATTCCTTTCAATCAGGACTTCTCGCATTTTGGCAAAATACTGAGCAGATATTGAGCATATGCTGGAGTATGATGACCCTGATCTTGACACCAGATCATCGCCACCAACAGTCACATTGTTATGGTGACTCCTGTTTGCATATGCTGCCATCCTTGCATGTCTTTTCCTTGCCCCACCATCATTCATATTTCCGTTGTCTTTCTTCTTACCGCCATGTATATCGGCCGGCAGATCAGGAGAAGGCGTCTCAGGAACAGTCAGCTGGCTTTCTTTCAGAATTTCCCTCTCATTTGCTTTAGCAGGTGGAGTCATATGTTGCTGATCTCTTGGTGGTAGATTCTCCTGGCCTTCCTCCAGTGATCCACTGTCTGATAGGTCAAAAGATGCAACTCCACTGAACTGATTAAACCTGTGAAGGGTGTTTGCTACAGTTCCAACGCCACCAAGAAAGTCGCTTTCATAACAAATATGGGAGTAGGGGCTCGTGACTGAATCAAGGTGATGTCGTACTATCTGCTTGCATTGCTTGGACAAATCCTTGACAAACTTATAATAGGAGCACCGGAGAGCAGCAAGGAAGCCAACATATCCATCCATATTTTCAACATTTTGATCTGGTAGGGAAAAAAGGTGAAATCACAAGAACTGTTTAGCAAATTGATCCTGATGTACTCCAAGGACTTCTAAAAGTATGCAATGCCCCTAGTTGTATGCCAATGGAATGATGGAGATAATAAGAGAACAAAAGACAAAACTGATGATATGGTATCTTATAAGCTTTTTCAAAATTAAGATGCACATATACAAAGTAGTATCAATGTAAGAGTAGCTCACCAATAAATGCCCACACTAATTATTGACTGAATAAACTTTGTATGGAGACAGTGATCAACAGTAATAGGAAAAACATTTGTGTAAAGTTAAGGGATCCAAACACTTGATGTCACACATTTGGTTTGGAAAATGCTATTGGCAGTTCCCTTATGTCACTAGAAAAAGTACTACACGGTAATAATTGGACTACTAAATAAGGCTAGAAGTCAGATGAACCAGCACAATAAAAATGCCAAATCTTACATCTTGAATCATCAGTGCGGCTGCGCTCCATTGCAAGGTCAAATAAGCTTTGCAGGACAAATGCAAGCCGATCACAAGCAGTTTCAGTAAGAGGAGCAAGCCAAGATCGTGCAGCCGCGCGTGCTATCTCAGCAGCTGCCTCAGTCATCCCACTGCTTCCACCTCTTCCAGCATGGGCAAGTAATATGTTCGCAACCTGATGACATCAACATCCCAATTTCAGTTAACTTACCCAAAATGATGTACCTACAAACTTCCAATGTAAATTGTACCTTCTCCCTTGACACCTGTGGGCACTCCATGGAATATGTCGCACAGCGGAACTCGTGCATTACTCTCTCAAAAGCCGCACCGCCATACAGCTTAAGGCTAGAGTTGGGAGGTTTTACTGGAACGCTGATGCCAGGCCAGCTGTTAATACCACTGTGCATTTGCTCCTCTTCGGTAGTTTTCCCCCATACCTCTGGAGCTGGATCAGCTGCTCCATCAAGTAATGCACGCTTTCATACAAAAAATATAGTGCCAGTTAGCTCCAGTACAAAAAACAGCAACCTAATTACAAAGAAATGTTACGCAAGGACAGATTGTGTTTTGTTTCCATACCAAATGGGTGCAGATAGAAGCAGCATGAAGCATCGCCGATCTCCTCAGCTGAGAGACATCAGAGGTTGCTTGAAGTTTGGAGTCCATTCTGGATAGTTCCATCGAGACATCACTGCATCTCTGCTCCAACAATGCTAGGGTGGCTGGAGCTGCTTCTTTGTACCTCTTCTGAAGTTCAGACTCCAGGTACTTCCTGAGGCAGCTAAACCCAATGTACGGACCAAACTTCTCTTCATTGAAACCCCCTTTCACACCATCACGCAAGTGTCGCAACACATCAATATCTACCTGACATATTTGCCGCCGGAACTCATCATTGGAGATTGTTCCTCGGTCCTTTGGAAGAGCCACAAAGAATGGGTGGACATTGTCCCCAAGGTAACCGCTTGCGCTCAAGTAGCTATCGACCTCCCACCTTTCGGTAAATTCCTTGAAATGATCAAAACAGGCGACAATATCAGAAGACCCGATACCAATTTCATTTCAGTAAATTCCTTGAAATGATCAAAACAGGCGACAATATCATAAGACACAGTACCAACTTCATTTCACAATTTACAGTGAAGAAGCTATTGAACCTCACAGTGTACTGATTGTTCTGCAGGCTGGCAAGCATACCTTGAGTCGGTTGTCAAACTTGGAGATGACTATCATGGTGCGCCTGAAAGTGGGATCGATCTCTCTAATTGCATCGAGCCAGAGCGAAGAGCACCACTCGACGCTGCTCTGCTGGAGGAACAGAATGAGGCGGTGGGGCGGGCTTGCTAGTGTCTTCACCATCGACAGGATCTCCTCCGGCGTCCTCTCCGGCTCGCCTTTCTTAGCCTACAGCAGTCACGAATTCCATCAAACAGCTGACAAACAGACTAAACAACCACTACCCTTTGTTGAGAAGTGGAAGCCCCAATTCATCAAACAGCTGACAAACTGAAAAACTGACTAAACAATCACTGAACTGAAGTGGCGCTACCTACCTTAAGCACGAAACCTGGGGTGTCGATGATGGTGAGGTTGGGGCAGTGGGCGTACTCGGCCCTCATGACGATGGGCTTGGCCGACACAGCGGCCTGGATCGTCCGGAGGTGCGACTCGGTGCGCTGCTTGATGAGGTCGGCTATCGCCGCGGCCTGCACCATGGGGTGGCCGTACTCCTCCGAGTCCTCCTCCTGCGATTCGCCGCACAACCCACGCTAATCAGCCGCTCGCTCGCGTTTACCAGAAGCACCAGACCCGATCTGTGAGGGGAACGAAGGGGGAAACCATAGAAGAGGTGAAGCGAAGCGCGCACCTGGAAGCGGCACCGGGGATCGAGGGCGGTGGGGTCGTGGACCATCTGGAGGACGAGGGGGCGGCGGGTGCCCATCTCGACCTCCCGGACGTTGAAGCGGAAGCCGAGGAGCGCCTCCAGGAGCGAGCTCTTGCCGTCCGACTGGCCCCCTATGGCCACTATCTCCGGAATCGGGAGCTTCTCCCCGAACGCCACCGCCGCCGCCTGCAGCCGGTTGTACGCCTCGAACCGGGCCTTGGTGTCCGACGCGGCGGCGGCGGCGGCGGCGGCGGCCGAGGCCGAATCCGCCACGGCTCGGCGGGCGGACGGGGACGGCGCCGCCTTGGGGTTGGGCGTCCTGCCCGCCGCCGGAGACATCGCCATGGGTAGGGGAGCCACAGTGGCAGGCGAGACGACGGGGTTTGAATTTGAAATGCGGGAGAGGTGTGGGGAAGGGTTGCAGAGTACAGACTGTAGTGCCATGCGAGAGCCGTTTGGGATTGTGATATTTATTTATACAGGAGATGGGCCGATCTCGAATCGTGTCTTCCACGCCTCCCAGGATCCGCATCGAGGTCACGCGTCCAGCCCATCCAGCCGTCGTTAGTGAACTTGTGTTCTCAAGGCACAAGCCCAGTAGCCCACAAAGCACTACACTCCTTGGTCCGGGAGCAACTAATTAACGAGATGACCCAACCTAAATCATTGGGAGGCTTGGGGTTTAAAGATTTTGAGCTTTTCAATTTAGCTATGCTAGCTCGGCAGGCATGGCGCTTTCTTCAACATCCAGAGTCTCTTAGTGCCCGCCTTCTGAAAAGTATATACTTCCCGGAATCATCCATTTTAGATGCAACCATTGATAGCCACCCAAGCCAGATCTGGAGACCTATAATAGAGGGAAGAGATGTTTTGAAACAGGGTCTAATAAAACGAATTGGAAATGGTCAGACAACAAATATTTGGTCAGATAACTGGCTGCCAAGAGATGAAATGTTGCAACCATACGGCAATATAGCTGCAAACCCTCCGGAGTTAGTGTCCGAGCTGCTGGACTCTACCCCGGCCACTTGGAACAGGGAACGGATCAGAGAGGTTTTTATGCCAATGGATATTCCAGTAATATTGAGCATCCCTATTTGTACTCAGAACATGGAAGATTTTTGGAGTTGGAACTTCGAGTGCTCGGGTCAGTTCTCAGTTCGGTCAGCCTATAATATGTTAGTCTCCACTAGAAGGAGGAGAGAGGCCTGGCTGGAAGGAACAGCCGGTTCCTCAAGCTCAAACGGGGAGGAAGGGACATGGAAAAAGTTGTGGAATATTCAGGTTCCGGGGAAGATCAGGATATTCTTATGGAGACTTTCAAAGCAATCCATGCCGACAGAGGATGTAAGAGCCCACAGGCATATGACTTCTTCGAGTGCATGCGGCCTGTGTGGAGGTCAAGACTCATGGAGGCACTCCCTTTTAGATTGCACGGTTGCACGCTGCACCTAGGCATTGGCGGATGATGATCTAGCCAGCCTCCTGACAGCAACAGCTGAGCCCAACGCCAAGTGTTGGATGTTTACTCTGATCGAAAATCTGCCCCATGCCAGATTCATTCACATAGCAGTCACACTTTGGGCTATATGGTCGTCAAGAAGGAAAGCGATCCATGAAGGGGTCTTCCAGAGTCCGCAGGGGACGAATGCGTTTGTTAGAAGATACTTAGCTGACCTGGAATCTATAAGAGAGAAGAAGCCAATGCAAGTGCCGGTGGCAGTCCAGAGGACAAGAAGAAGGAAACGACCGAAGGCTCCACCTGTGGGCGTTGCTAAAATACATGTTGATGCAGGTGTACCTCGTCCTTCGCGAGGAGGCACGACAGCCGCAGTGTGCAGGGATGATCATGGAGTCTTTTGGGGGAGCTCTACTTTAGTGATCCAAGGTATAAATGATCCGGCAACCCTTGAGGCAATTGCATGTCGAGAAGCTTTGGCACTGGCTGAAGATTTGAACATCCAGAGATTCGTTATCACATCAGACGCCAAGCAGGTGGTGAATGATATACATACAGGGAACCGTGGAAGATACGAAACGGTGATTAAGGAAATCCAGCAGAGAGCGTGTCATTTTATGTGTAATTTTACTTTTGAAAGTCGTGACTCGAACTTTGAGGCACATAGTTTAGCTAAGTTTGCCGAGTCCTTAGGCCCGGGACGCCATGTGTGGCTAGGCCAAACTCATGATCCGAGATGTATCCCACCTCTGGTGGCTTATGACGTTTAATAAAGCTCGGATTATCCCTAAAAAAAACTAATTAACGAGTGCTCCTTCGGGAGCCTCGCAACGATCAGCCCCACTTGGCGCGCTCTCAGCCATTCGCCACGTGTCGCGCTGTGGGCGCTCTCTCCGATTTTATTTTTTTTATTTTTTCGCATGCGTTTTCGGCTTTTTAAATGATTTTTTTGTTTTTTTACGTTTTGGTTTTCCACCGGTCTTCCCTAGCTTTTCGACAAAAAAATTTGAAAAAAAATATTTTTTTTGCGCAAAAAACACATTTTTTTCGTGAGAGTCACAGTTTTGTTTTCACGAGAGGCACGGTTGTGCTTTTGCGAGAGGCACGGCCTTGCCTCTTGGAAACGAAAAAAAACGTGTTTTCTTTTTTCTTTTTCCTTTCGCGAGAGGCACGGTTTTGCTTCCGCGAGAGGCACGAGCGTGCTTTCGCGAGAGTCACAGCCGTGCCTCCTCGGAAACAAAAAAAACACGTTTTTTCTTTTTTTTTTTTCTTTCGCGAGAGGCACGCTTTTGCTTCCGCGAGAGGCACGGTTGTGCTTTCGCGAGAGGCATGGGTGTGCCTCTTTCGGAAAGGGAAAAAACGCGTTTTCTATTTTTTTTCTTCTGCGAGAGGCACGGTTTTGCTTCCGCGAGAGGCATGGTTGTGATTTCGTCAGAGGCACGGGTGTGCCTCGAAAAGGAAAAAAAACCGTGTTCCCGATTCAGTTTTTTGTCGTTTTTTTCATCCGATTTTTTCATGAAAAAAACTTCGTCAAAACCTATCAACATGGGATCTAGTTTTGAATATCTCGACGCGAGGAATCCAACAGCGAAAGAGGTTCAAGATTTGGACGCACGGTTTAAGAGATAAAACGTTTTGAATAAACGGATCTACGAAAAAAGGGAAAAACTCCTAGGTTGCGACAAGTGACGCACATGCAGCACGCCATTTGTCGCAACCTGGGAAAGTTGGAGTGATCTCCGCAAGGAGTACTCTTTAATTAGTGATTTCGCCTTGGTCCTTTTTTTTGCGGGTGCCACACGCTCCCTGGTCTCACAATTTCTTTTGCTCAAAAGAAGAAAAATCTGACAATTCTCTCCTGGGGTAGTGAGAGCATCTATAACTGGATTTGACAAAGCCAACCCCCTAAACATCCACGGACGCGTCCCCACACCCTGTCAAACCGCCTCTTATATGTCATATCGAACATCCACGCTGCTCATATCTAAACCTCCAATCCATGCAATCCATGCACATGGATCATATAAAACAAATTTATCAGGATTTAAGAATTTAAAAAAGCTACAAAAGAAAGTAAATCACATCTCAACAATTTGGACATGCCAAAATAAATTCAGATCCGGGCCACAACTAACCAAGAAGGGCACATCTTCAAACACATTTGGAGTAGCTCCAACAGGCTCAAGCACAAGATATCTTTCTGGCTAATAACACATGACAGGGTCGACACAAGATATATGTTAACGAGAAGGGGCATGCATTTGGATGACAAATTTTGCCCAAACTGTGACCAGTAGGTTGAAGAAACCTTTCTGCACTTGCTTTTAGACTGCAGATTTTGTTGGAAATATGCCCTAGAGGTAATAATAAAATGGTTATTATTATATTTCCTTGTTCATGATAATTGTTTGTTGTTCATGCTATAATTGTATTGACCGAAAACCGTAATACATGTGTGAATACATAGACGACAACAAGTCCCTAGTCAGCCTCTAGTTGACTAGCTCGTTGATCAACAGATGGTCATGGTTTCCTGTCTATGGACATTGGATGTCATTGATAACGGGATCACATCATTAGGATAATGATGTGATGGACAAGACCCAATCCTAAGCATAGCACAAGATTGTGTAGTTCGTCTGCTAAAGCTTTTCTAATGTGAAGTATCATTTCCTTAGACCATGAGATTGTGCAACTCCCGGATACCGTAGGAATGCTTTGGGTGTACCAAACACCACAACATAACTAGGTGGCTATAAAGGTGCACTACAGGTATCTCCGAAAGTGTCTGTTGGGTTGGCACGAATCGAGACTGGGATTTGTCACTCCGTATGACGGAGAGGTATCTCTAGGCCCACTCGGTAATGCATCATCATAATGAGCTCAATATGACTAAGTAGTTGGTCACGGGATCATGCATTACGGAACGAGTAAAGTGACTTGCCGGTAACGAGATTGAACGAGGTATTGGGATATCGACGATCGAATCTCGGGCAAGTAACGTACCGATTGACAAAGGGAATTGTATACGGGATTGCTTGAATCCTCGACATCATGGTTCATCCGATGAGATCATCGTGGGACATGTGGGAGCTAACATGGGTATCCATATTCCGTTGTTGGTTATTGGTCGGAGAGCTGTCTCGGTCATGTCTGCATGATTCCTGAACCCGTAGGGTCTACACACTTAAGGTTCGATGACGCTAGCACTAGTGCAGAACCGGGCTTTAGCGCCGGTTCGTAAGGGCCTTTAGTGCCGGTTCTACAACCGGCACTAAAGAGTGGAGACTAAAGGCCAGGTTCGACACGAACCGGCACTAAAGTGCCACCACGCGGCACGAGCCAGGCCCGGGTGCTGGTAGACCATTATTACCGGTTGGTAACACCAACCGGTACTAAATGTTTGGGGTGGTTTTGGTTTTATTTTTTATTTTCCATTAATTTTGTGTTTTCCATTTAATTCTTGTTTGTTTGCTGGTATTTTACGATACTACAAATTGTACACGTTATGCATATATATAAATAGATTTTCTCGTACGTAGAACCGCATATATATAGAAATATATATCATCGAATGTCTCACAACCAACACCATTAATTATTCACACATACACATGTATATATATATATATATATATATATATATATATATACAATTTCTCCTACATGTTGCCTTGGTGCCTTTGGAGCACGATGACAAGTGGTTCATGGGGGCGGTAGCGGGTAATAGTATTCTCCTTTGGGATCTATGGCCTGGTCGAGCAAAAATCCCGCTATTTCCTCTTGAAGTGCTAGTATGCGGTCCGTTGGTAGGAGCTGCTCCCGCACCTCTCTGAACTGTTAAGAAGGAGATCAATATGCATGTGTATTAGTTGTGTGACTAGATATCGATAATGGTGTGAGTAGTGTTCTGACAAATGTACCCAATCCTGTCTTTGAGATCTGTTCCTTTCGGACGCCATCATGCGAATGTTCTTGCAAACGT